GGTGGCAGCAGATTCTTCCTCCTACTCTGAATAATATGAGGCACATCGTTTCACCTCTTTGGATCATCAGGGCATGCTGGGGACCAAGAGATAGCCCTGGGGGTGGAGGTGATGTTTGATGAAGACACTGAGATGTGTCAGGGTGTGGGTGCTGACGATTGTTGTGAGCTGGCAGTGGACACTAGCCCCAAGTCTGCAGCCATTGCTCCAGCCGGGGACAGGAAGGCTTGTGTGGCTGCTCTGGCTCTGCAGATGATGCTGACAGCACTTTGAAGGATTGCCTTGGCCAGGGACCCAGTCCCCAGCCTGCCTTCTCTATGACTCATTCTAGCTGCATATTTTGGTAGCATGAGGGCTCGAGATGAGATGAAATGAAAGAAGTACGTATTGAGAGTGGGAGCTCCTAGGTATTGGATCCACACTGGAGAAGTATAATGTTGTACAGGTCAGAGAGGTTTTTTTTTTGTGTGTTTTTTTTCTTTTCAATTTATTAACAGTTTTGAAGAGAACAATTCCATAGCATTTAGTACATTCACTGTTGTGCAACCACCAGCTCTGTCTAGTTCCAAAATGTTTTCATCATTTTGCAAGAAAGGTCTCCTCTCTTCCCCTAACCCCTGCTTTCTCTCTCTGTGGATTTACTGCCCTGGATATTTCATATAAAGAGAATCATGCCATATGTGAGTGTGTATTTTTGACTTGGCATATTGTTTTCAAGGTTCATAAAGTCTTAACTGTAAAATCCCCAAAGACAACCACTCCCCTGAAAAAGAGTGACTCTCTAGCCCCTCTCATTTAGTCTCAGGTCCTGACTGAAGGCAAGGGACTGGACTAGATTCATTATTTCCCAAATAGGCTGCTTTGGAGACACTGGGCATCTGTCAAAAATACCAATTCCTGGGCTCCGTTTAGGGGGCTTCCCAATCAGTAATAGGTCTGGGTTGGGGCCTGTCCTGGTGATTCAGATCCTGGGCCAGGTCACCTCTGGGGGTTATCCTAACCACCTGCCTGTGAGCCTGGCAGAGAGAGTCCTGCCCTCCTTCCAGACGTTTGTGGTTCCTGGCTGTGGGTTCTGTTCAGAGAGTCCCCTGGCATGCGGTTTTTCTGTTTGCCTTCTGAGGGGAGGCACTGGGTTCCCTCCCTGCTGGCTTTACAGCTCCAATTAACTGTGTCTCATTTATCAGGCTCCAGCTATGCCTTGTGAGCCAGAGACCGAGAGGGAAGGTTGTTCACGCCCTGGGGTTGTCCTTATGACTGACTGCTCCTCAAGGTTATGTTCCTGCAAAAGCCACACTCCCACCTCCTCCCAGGCCCAGTCTTCTGGGTCAGTGTGTGGGACCTGAGTGGGAGAGGCTGGTTGGAGCATTTTGGAAGCCTGCAGCTGCCCCCAGGAGGCTGGTGACTCTGGGGGAGGACAGGGAGAGATCCCCCAGGAAGGAAAATCATCCAAACAAACTGGGAAGCACCGCTGACCTAACTAAAGGGCTCTTGCTATGGGAACCTGGTTTGTTCTTGTTTGGTTTGTTCAGGCTGCTGGGGGTGGCCCTGGGCTGCTGGCTCCCTGGTCACATTGCGTGGACAGGTCACTGCTGCCCRGAGAAGCCTGCTTTGACTTCTGCCTGCTTATCCCTGTAGGGGTGAGGGATAAGGAGGAGGAAGGTCAGGCCAGAGTAGAATGTATCTTTTGGCCTTAATCACATTGATAGCCTGCCCACCTCCCTGCTGGCTCCCCTGTCCTCTGGGTGCATCCATTCCAGCCTCTGAGTTTGGTCCTGAGCTTTTGGGGGATGGGCACCTGGGCTGCCTCAGGGATCAACCCTGACTCACCAGGGAGTTATTCTCATAACCAGGATGTGCCTGACATCTTGGCAAGAGGGCAGCGGAACTGTTTGTGTGCGTGCCTGGTGGCCATTTCTTGCCAGGGATTTGTTTTCTTTCCCTCCACTGGGCTGCCTTATACAGCCTGCTCTTAGGGACATCTGATAGAAGAGGATTTTTTTTTTTTTTTTTTTTTTTAAATAGGTGTCTCACCAAGCTTGCCTGCTTAAGGTCTTTCTTCATAAAACAGCCCTTGGGTATTTTGATGCTTGTTTCTTGTGTTCAGTCTCACCCTTCACCCTTAGGACCAGTTGGGGGGATCCCATAAATCTCATGTCCTCTGCATCGAAAGCCCACAGTAAGTTGTTTTAGCCCTCTTGCCCACTCTGATCCCTGAGAGCTTTGTAGCCTGTTCAAAGAGTTGTCTGATGGTTACCTGCTAGAAGGGGCACTTTGACCATCTTCTTTGAGGATGCCTGGACCAAACATTGGAGAGCTTTTCATCCCAGACCCAGGGTGAACTTGGGTGGTTCAAGTAGGTCTCCAATCCTTTATCATATTGATATTTGCATAGTTCTCTATTCCCCTCTGSTTCCATGGGTGAGGGTGGATTTGTATGGGAGAGGACTGGTGAGCCTGAATTCCCGGGGGTCACAGATGCTTCCAGATTCTTTCCAGAAATGTGGACTGGAAGTAGAGCAAGAGGAAGAGGGAAGGTTGGAGGGAGACTTTAGTGGTTTGGGAGATTCCCTTAGCTGCTTTTGCCTGTAGCATCCTAGGTTAAATAATTTATTTCTGTTTCTTATTTGCACTCTTCTGTTGATGCTTGCCTGGACTTATCTATAGGGAATGGGAAGTGACAGTTTGGACTAACGTATTTTCCTAAAAATATATCAAGGGTCTTTTTCTTTAAAGAGGTCTCATTTCAAATGTTTTTCAAAAGAATTTGGATCCTAGATCAAATTAAATGCAGGTGCTTAAAACCCAAAGCAGAGCTGTTAGGGATTAGCTCCTTGGTGTATGGGGCTGCCAAGTTTGTGGCCCAGGTGTTTCTCTTTTCCCTGGTGACATCTGAGAGCACCCCATGGAGTGGGTGTGGCAAGTTAGGGTGTGGTGGGGAGGAGGGGAAGGAAGGAGAAAGGAGGTGTGGGGAGGGTAGGRTTTTCCACTGCAGAGTCCTGATAAAGTGGCTTCAAGAGCAGGTTGAGCCAGACTTGAACTTTCATTAGTCCAAGAGTTGGTGGTAGGGGTGGTGCTGCGTGCCACCCAGGCTAGACCCTGCAAGGCACCAGGAGTCCCCAAGCAGCCAGGATGGCTGATGGAACAGGCATATCTCAGAGGTCCTGATTCGGAGGACCTTGTTCTGCTTCTAGATATTGCACCAGCTGCCAGAAGATCGGTTTGTGTCTTCATCAGTTTGCTCCCCACACAGGTTTTGTGAAACAAAACGCCAGCCCTCAAACTGGTGTCCATCAGTGAACAGTGACACAAGATAAGATCCTGTGTGCTCAGGGTAGTATGGCCTCTGGATGGTAAAATAAGAGGAAGAAAAGTAAGGCAGTTAGTGTTAGGTAAAGTAAACATAACCAAAGAGAAGTAGCCTTTTTTCTGAGGCTATCTTTCCTCAGTTTTAACAGATGGGTCCCAAAAGCCCGGTGGTATAAACATATCTTCCAGTTATAGGAGAAGTTCAAGGTGAGTATCACTCCTCCATGGGGGGCCTTCTCCCAGAGACCCAGGCTCCTCTGTCCTGTAGCTCCGCCCTCCTCCAGGACTCCAGTCCTTTGAATGCAGCCTGCAGATGGGGAAAGAAAACAGGACTGTGTGTGGGCCTGTAGTGGCCCTGAGAACCCCCTCTCACAGACCATTGCCTGGAACGTGGTCCTAGGGCCACACTTGATGCGAGGCAGCCCGGGCAAGGGTCTGCAGTGTCATCAGGAAGCAAAGGAAGCAGATTGAGAGGGTAGCTCAGCTCTGACACCATGGCTGTTTTTGTCATTATCCTTACCTAGCAAAATAGAAGGTGCCACCCAGTCCTCTGTTGGCCTTTCTACCTATTTTTATTTTATTGGTTTACAGAATCAAAAGCTTGGGAACGTCTGTTAGCAATAATCCAAAGGTCATTTCTGTTGGGTTCTGGTAAACATTTCCTTACTTGCAACACTTTAAAAATAAATTTAAAGATACCTCACAATGATGACTTCCTCTTGTTTCCCATCATGAATCGAAAGTGAATAATGGTGACCCCCAGGCCAGGGGAAAACATTTCCAGAATTGGAAAAGCATGCAGTCTTTCTGGCCTGTGGATTTTTGAAACTTATATTTTAATTTTTATTGACACAATTACATATTTCTCAGGTACACACTGTAATATTTCAATACATGTACACAATGGAATGATCAGGTAATTGGCATATCCAGGTAATGGTTCTGATCACTGGTGGATSTATGACCTCAAACATTGAACATTTCTTTGTCTTGAGAACATTCAAAATCTTCTCTATTAGCTCTTTTGAAATATAGAATTAATTGTGGTTAGCCTTCGTTATCTCACAGTGCTATATAACATTGGAAGTTATTCCTTCCAGCTGCTCTCCTGTGCCATTAGCCATTCTTTCTCCGTCCCAGCTTCTTGTCCTTTTTTTTTTTTTTGAATGGGAGAGATATTTCTTTTTTTTTTTTTTTAATTTATTTTTTAGTTTTAGGTGGACACAATATCTTTATTTTACATTTATGTGGTGCTGAGGTCCGAACCCAGGGCCTCATGCATGCTAGGCGCGCACTCTACCACTGAGCCACAGTCCCAGCCCTGGGAGAGAGATTTCAATATTTTGGTTTTCGTGCCACCCATATGGACTAAGGATCAGAGGAACAGGGGATTGATGTGACAAAGGACAAAAGTGAAGCAAAAAAATTGGTTAGGTCAATGAGACCCTGAGAAGATTTCTGCAATCTAATGATACTCACAATTTCATGGAATGTAACCAGGGCACTAGTATTTCTTCTGAGGGAAGCTAAGTCTGGAAAAGCGTGTGTAGCAGGGAGAATAGACCCTGCTGGCTCAGTGACTCACATCTCAGAATTCTGTCCTTTCTGAGTGACCAAGGAGGGAAAAGTCTAGGTTTTCCATGGGTGTGGCCGTTTCTCATGGGGGTCCTGATTCCTGTATTGGTCTCTTTCAGGTCAGTCTGAATGATTCCCACAATCAGATGGTGGTGCACTGGGCTGGAGAGAAAAGCAACGTGATCGTGGCCTTAGCTCGGGACAGCCTGGCCTTGGCGAGGCCCAAGAGCAGTGACGTGAGTATTTGTGTTACTCTGGGCACTTCTCAATGCTGTCAACGTGCCCTTTCTGATCCCCTGGGATTAATGTGCCAGAAAACATACTGGGTAATTGGACTTATATGAGAGGGAGGAGAATCTGGAGTTAATATACATATCCCTTGTTTACTAAATATGGAGAGGTGAGGTCAGTGTCTCAGGCAGCGGGGAAGGTGTGATTACCTTCCTGAAGTGATGAGTGGTCTGAATCTTTCCCTCTGCTCAACAAAGTGCCAGAAGAGTGTTCCTGAGCAGAGCTGCCTGCCTGGAGCTGTGCCAAATGGAATCAAATTGGTCTTTTCCATGTGCTGATGTCTTCTAACCCATCACTGATGGGGGAGCTGTTGAAAATGGATTTTCTCACATTCTTAAGGGCATGTAATAGATTGGGTGCTTTGAAGACAGGAGATCAAACTCAAAGGCCAGGCAGATAAAGGGCAGGAGGGAAGCCACTGGGCATTTACAACACTCTTTACATCTCTAAAGGAAAAAGGTCTCTCCCATTTTTTTGAAGTCTGTGGCCCACTTGGCCAATAGGCCATTTCTTCATATCTTAGTTCAGATGTGGTGACTGGGACTTGGTTGCTGTTGGAGAGGTATTAGTGTTACTGCTGTGGACCGGTGACGAGTCCTTGCTTCCCCAGTGTTGAAGAATAACACCAGAGAAGCCCGCTGAGGCAAGGTCAGAGTAGAAATTAGAAGTTCATTAAAGGACGCCAGAAAAGACTTCTCCTGGAGGAAGAAGGGGACCCAAGAGGTGGAATCCGTGGAAGGGCGGTTGTTTCCCCTTTTTATAGTTTTCGGTGATGGAATGTAGGTGGGAAGGCCCAGGGGTGGGACACTGGTGGGCCCAAGAACTAATCTGGGCAGGAAGGACTCCAGAGGCAGCATCTTCAAGTTTGCTGTTCATTAACATTTCTTTGGGATGGGCTATCTTCAAATCTRTTGGGGGCTGTTTCCTGGACTTCATTAACATTTCAAGAGTTGCTCAAGGGTGAATTCATTCTCATGGCCTCCATTTTAGATTTCACTCAGTATTAGACCTGATTTACCTAACTACACTGACTACCTAACTTTAAATCTGGCTTCACTAGGAAGTACTTCTGAGGGGCGTTGCTGATTGGCTCTGTGCTCTGGGTGCCACACAGGAGGCAGAGCCCAAAATGGCCAGATCTGACTGTTCAGGAGAAGCCCAGAGGTCTGAATTTTTATGTGAAACTGCTGAGTCTTACCAGTTGGCAGCTGATGTATAGTTTTACAAACACCACGCGGGCCAAGTAAAATCTATGAAAGGGTCAGGACTGGCCCGTGCATCCCCAGTCTGTAGCCTGTGTTCCAGACTTCTTGAGGGCAGGAGGAACAGCCCTGCCCCAGATCAGGGTCTGCCATGGTAAAGAAGTGTGAGTCTGTGGACACATCAAACACCACAGAGCTTTGTCCTGGCCAGAGGAAACCTGATGAACTTACTAGCACTCACACCAGGCTTTACGTAGTTTTGTAATTTTTGAGTACAGAGTTGGTCTTTGTGAGGTACCTTCTTGAATATCCGCTGTTTGGGTTGGATGTGTTCAGAGGTAGGTGACTGGAGGGAGCCCCCGGGAGCTATTTTCTAGTGAGTTGAATTAGGGCAACCACTGGCAGGGAGGGCCAGAGAAGGACTGGCCATCATGATGCATAGTTTTGTGTTTGCAGCCATGGTGCGTGGGAAACCGCTATAGCTGGTGGCCAGTCTGGGTATATAGAGCTTTGGAGCAGACCTAGACTTGTTTGGGGCCCTGACTCTGACCCATTTATAAATGAGGTCAGAGTTTGTGAGCAGCAGCTCTGGCCACAGATGGCTGTGAATGGCTGCCTGCTGGCTCCCGGGTACTCTGTAGGTACTACCTGTGTGTGTCAACTCCATCATTGCTCCGTGGTGTCCCTTTTGGGCACAGGAGCCGATTTCTGGATTCTACTGTGTTGAGAAATCTTCCTTAGGGTTTTTATACATTTTATTTTTTTTTGTCCAAAAAATATTTTTTTGCAAGGTAGGGAAAAGAACAACATTGTTTTATATTTTTCCTGCACAGATGGGAGCTTAGAGGCATAAAGGGATTTGCATGAGGTCACTCAGCATATCAGTGGGGGACTTTGGGGCTGATAAGAATTAAACCCAATTGTGTATGCCATGTGTGAGGCTGTGGTTTCACTGCAATGACCAACYGCACTGACAGCTGCACATGCTGGGTCTCCCCTCAGTCCTGGGTGAACCAGGAGGGTTGGTCTCCCTCAGCATTGCCAGTCCATCCAGCCGGGCTCTTACTCTGTGTAAATATTTGGGTGTGTCCTACTAAGGGCTCATTGAACATTTGAAGTGATTAACTATTCTAGAATGAAATATGAGATAAAATTAAATGGAAAGGAGACTTAATGCCCAGAGTTAATAAACAGGTATGGCAGAAATTTCCTGCATCGTATACAAACTGCATTAAAGAATTGGTAGATGAAACTGAGATGTTCTGATGTGAAAAGTTAATGCAAAAATAAACTATGACTCAGAGGCAGAGTTGTTGGTGTTGGGGGAGTGGTAACGATCCAAATTGTCTTTAAAGAAGACTGAAAGCATGGTTCATAAGACTGGGTCAGAAGCCTGAGGAAAAAGAACTTACACTGATTAGAACCTGCAGGAGAGGTGGGACTTGGCCAACATCATCATGCATATTCAGTATGTAAAGTAGGGTGGATCTGGATGCTGGAATCCCAGAGGGTTTGCTCTTAAGCAGGAAAAAAGAGAAGTCATCACCTGTTGAACTTGTAACCTGGTGATTCTGTGAAGAAYGGAGCCCGTGGGACTGATTTTTTTCTGTGATGAGGTGATGAAGTGAAACAACAGATGTGGCTTATCTTGACCCTTCCTTAATCTTGATTCCTTCTCTCTCATGATATGTGTTACAAAGTACTCAGGTGTGACATAATTGGCCAAAGAGCATCCAAGAGCATCCTGAGATAGTGTCTACCGGAAGATCAGAATCGAACAGGAAAGATGCCATGAATGATTGGTTTCACCACCCTTATTAGCAKCGGAGTCTGTGTAGCCTGCGGGAGGCTGGTGTCTGGCTTAGCACAGACTCTGAAATCAGAATGTCTGGGTTGGGATCTTGGCTCTGCCAYTCATTAGCAGTCTGCCCTTAGGCCAGATTGTTTACTGTCTCTAGGTCTTTGTTCTACTAAACTTTCTGTTACCATAATAAAATACTTGATATTATCAACTTATAAAGAGAAAAGATTTATTTTGGCTCAGTTTTGGAGGTTCCAGTCCATAACTGTTGGACCCATTGGTTTTAGACCTCTGGTGGGGGTATTGGATGGCAATAGTGGGGAAGCCTATGGCAGAGCCATACCAATGACATCATGTGCCCAGGGGATAGAGGGAACAAGGAGGGGACCTAGCCCCTATAGTTCCCTTCAGGGCCACATTCTCAAGAACCTAAAGACATCCCATTAGGCTCCACTTCTTAAAGGTTCCACCACCTTCCAATGTATCCCCGCCTGGGGACCAAGCCTTTCATTCATGGGCCTTTGAGGGAGATTTAAGATCTAAACCATAGCAATGTTTTCATTTATYACTGAGATGGTGCTTGTAAAACCTTGCTACTCAAAATGCAGTATCTGGGTTGGCCACATGGGTGTTTTCTGGGAGCTGGTTAGAAATGTAGAATTTGGGGACTGGCAATGTAGCTCACTGGAAGACTAGCAGGCACAATGTCCTGGGTTTGATCCCCAATACCACACACATAACAAAAGTGCAGAGTTAAATGTCGAATTTCAGGTTCCACCCCAGACTTGAATTAGGTCCTGCTGAATTAGTGTCCTGCTGGGTGATTTGTAAGCATATTAAAATTTGAGAAGCACTGCTATAAAGGACTTGAGCAGTGCCAAATGTGATGGTTTTTTTTTTTTTTTTTTTTGGTACATTACAGTTGTCTTCTTCCTCCTCATTATTATTGTAGTTTTAAAATACAGGGAAGAGAATTTTGAGCTGTTCATTTTGAAGGACCATATTTATAGGAGAGAAAATGGTCTAACTGGCAGCTTGGTAGTTTAGTAACTCTTCCGGTGCTGAATTTTGTTCTTTAGGGAATAGTGTCCTGTTGAGGTCAGAGAGGACTAATTAGTRCAGAGCCCTGTCTGGATGAAAACAGCAATTGCAGCACAAGACAGGGAGAGCAGGGCGTCTGCCCCAGTTTTTGGAGGTCACCGTGGACAGTGTGTGAGCCACGTCATATTGCCGGGAATAGAAGACAGCAAATTCTGGTTGCTCTTGGGGGTGCTGTCTGAGGACCAGGAAGCCATCAGTCAGCTTGAGGTTCAGTCAGCACTGTCAGAGGCCTTTAGTATGCTGTTCAGTGTGTGCCAGTGGGTAACTTGCCTTATGGTCTTTTGTCAATTAAACACAAATAAGAATTGTGAGAATTATGGTTTGTGTCTGGAATGTACCCCAGAAGYTCATGTGTTGAAGGCTTGGTCCTCAGTGCAGCCATGCCCAGAGGTCAGAAGTGATCTGATAAGGAGGGCTGTGACCTCATCAGTGGATTAATTAATCCATCCATAGCTGAGAGGATCCCAAGGAGGAGGTGGCAACTGTAGGCAGGTGGGGCATGGTTGAAGGAAGCAGGTCACTGGAGGTGTGCCCTGGGGCTCTGTTTTGTTCCTGGTCCCTTCTTTGATTTCTGCTTCCTGGCTGCTGAGAGCTGAGCAGCTTTCTCCTGCCACCACACCCTTCCGCGCRTGACTTTCTGTCTCACCTAGGGCCCAAGGCCATGGAGCCTGCTGACTAAGGTCTGAAACCTCTGAAACTGTCAGCCAAAATAAACTTCTCTTCCTTCAAATTGTTTTTGTCCGGTTTTTGGTCACAGTGACAAAAAAAAAGCTGACAGACATAAAGGGATAAAAAAGATTATGTTGGAATTGTTCAACCTATAGAGGGCCAGGAMTGTCAATGAACAATCTTCCATAATGTTCAGGCATAGGGTGAGCACTTACATATCTACTCTTTACTTCTATTAAGTATAAGACCCAAGAGATTTTTATTTTTAACTTCTTTTGTGGTGCTGGGGATTGAACCCAGGGCTTAATGCATGGTAGGCAGCCCTCTGCACTGAGCTGCTCCCCCAGCCCTAAGAGACGGGGGTCATTGGCTGGTGGGAAATGAGGAGGGGCTTTTTGGTAGTGAGGATGTTTTTTCCTGGAAGTGTGAGAATCTCAGACAGGCTTTTCCTGCTGGCCAGCACACCTTCTCGTGTGTGGCCTATGGATTTGGTGTGTGGCCTTTCTTTTTAACAGAGAAACATAAAGTATGGAGAAGAGAACGTTCTCCAAAATGGTAACTTGTGGAGTGGAAAGACAAATGGATTTAGAAGAAACTAACCTAATTGTGTCACTTACTAGTGGTAGTCATTCACTTCTCCGAGTCTTACTTTTTGTTCTCTCTTAATGGACATAATTAGAGTCAACCCTCCTTGATCCACAGGTTTTGCATCCATGATTCAGCCAGCTGCAAATTGGAAATGTTGGGAGAAACAAGTGCATCTGTACTGAACATGTGCAGACTTTTTTTGTTTTTTCTTGTCTTGTTCCTTAAAACAATGCAGTATAACCAGTCTGCAGAGCATATATGTTGTCTTAGGTATTGTAAGTGATCTAGAGATGATTAGAGTAAAGGAGGATGTGAATAGGGTGAGCATCCACAGGTTGAGTATCTCTGGGGGTCCTGAAACCACTTCCCCACAGATATTGAGGGAGCATGATGTTCTCTCAGTCACTCACTAATTCATTCCATTCACTCTCTTTTTTTGTTCATTTATTCAGCGATTCTTTGGTTTATAATCATATCTATTTGTTGTAGAAGTCTTTGTTGACTACCTAATGTGTTCTTGGTGCTCTGAAGACTAACTTATAGGGTTTTCAAAGATGAAGAGAGATAATACGCACAAAGGAGTATTGTGTCCTGAAAAACGCTCCCCTGATATAAACACGATCACATTTGTGCATCTCAAGAAATTCATCCTAGTGGATCATCAGGTCATGGGATATTGGAGCTGAAGGGGGCCTCCCTGATTGTGAAGCCATGCATTTGCTCTGAGCAACTTAGGAACGTACCTGGACTCCCAGTGTCCATTCTTGGCCAGCGGAATGGAAGTGAGAAAAGTTCCACTTTGTCTTTTTCGCCACTCAGATTATCTGTGAACTCTCAACCTGCTGGTTTTCTAGAGCTGCCTTCGTGGCAGCACCTTCCTGTGCACTTGATAGTTGGGAACACGTGCTGTGTGTTTCTACTAGTTCCTTTCATGGTGACCCAGATAAAGGCAGAGGCTCTGTCTTTGCTTCTTTTAACCTTGATGTCTATGAAATGTTAATGGCCCATCCTTGTGCGTTCAGTCCCTGATGGACAGCCTCCTGTCCTCATTGTTTGCACTGGGCCTTGTTAGCAAACATTTCCATGTTTACATGCCCATCCTCTCTAGTGGCCATGTCTGATTTGTCTTTGTATGTCTGGTGCCTGGCCTAGCACTTGGCTTTGGTAAAACCCTCCAGACATGTTGCTGTTGAATTTAAGGGGCAGGTATGGCAGTAAACTTGCTGGGATTAGTTCAGTTGTCCATGTTCTTCTTGGAATTTACCTTCCATTTTTCTTTAATGCTTCCCTTGATTTTCTTTCTCATAAATCATTTGAAAACCAACTAACTTATTATCTTCATTGTTATAGTCATCTATCAGATGTGTTTCCTTGATCTTATCTCTTATCTGACAACTTCCATTCCACCTCTATAGTCTTGAGTTGTCAGTAGCTTTGAGATCCCTGGCTTGGAAGGCAGGCAGCCTCCTCTAGGTTCTACTCTGCTACTTGTTTGCTGTGTTAGTACAGTGGCAAGTAACTAATCTCATAAGCCCCTGTTATCTTCTCTGTAAAAGGATTTTAACAATTGTGTTTGCCACGTGGGATTGTTGTGAGAGTTACCTAAGCTCATTCATTTGAAGAGGTTAGTACCATCTCTGCATATAGTGAGCACTTGATGAATGACAGCTCTTACCTTTTATCACCGTGGTTACTGCATCATCAGAAACCAGGAAGCAGTTGGCACAGACCTGGATCTTGTTGCTGTTCTCATCTCCCATGAAATGTGACGGAATCACAAAACGTGCAGGAGCGGGATTCTTCTGCTCCTAATCGATTCCTTCCTTCCTTCCTTTCTTTTTTCTTTGGATTGAGTCCAGGGCCTCATGCATACTGAGCTACGCCCCCAGCCTACTGATATCTTCACCTGTGGAAATTTAATCATTTGCACTTTTTCATCTGTTGGGCTGTAGGGTGCAGACCCATGAAGGTTTTCTTTCTTTGAGTATGAAATTCTCTAAGCAGCAAACTTCTCTGAAGAGGGATGAAGGATTGGATTACCTTTTGGGGACATTTCAACAGATGGCAAAACATATTTTCAGCCCTTACCTCCTCAGACAGGCACATTTCTCTGTTTCTGGATGACATCTGTTAGACACTTAACCCTTGATGAGGATGTTACCAGTATTTCAGTATTTGTCTCCTACTGCAAGGACTTGACTTTGCCTTAGAAAAGAGGGAGAGTGGGGCTAGGAATACAGCTCAGGATGGTAGAGTCCTTGCCTCACATGCATAAAGTCCTGGGTTCGATCCGATCCCCAGCAATACACACACACACACACACACACACACACACACACACAGGCAGAGTACTCCAAGCAGGGGTGGCTGCAGTACTCCCTAGCCTGTCCGTGACAAGCCTGGGGCCAGACATAGAAGTGCCTTGCTTTCCTTGCTTTGTGAGTTATCTGGGAGCATCAGTGCTTTCATGATGTCAAGGACCCAGTGGGAGCGATGTTCAGGGTCCAGGGTGGATGCTGGAAGGTGGAGGCAGGTGAGAGATCTCTGCCTGATTCCTCACCAACTCTTTTCTTCTTCTTCCCCTTCTCTGTCTTCCAGGTGTACGTGTCTTATGACTACGGAAAATCATTCAACAAGATTTCAGAGAAACTCAACTTTGGTGTGGGAAATAGCAGTGAAGCTGTGATCGCCCAGTTCTACCACAGTCCTGCAGACAACAAGCGGGTAAGGAAGCCGTCCACCCCAGGCTCCTGATTTCAGGGACAGTGTTTTGGAAAGATTGCTGCTCTGAGCGGGGCTGGGCAGCGGAGCCCTTTGTGATCCTTGCAGCATGACTTGTAGCTAGCCACTGTGTCTMTGCTAACCTGGGAATTTGTGACAGAGTACAGGTGGGTCTGTGTATAATCAGGCAGGCCAAGTATGGTCAGGCAGGATTTCCAGACAAACAAGGCCAACTTAAACCACAGAAAATCTGCCAACCAATGAACTGCTTGATTCCCCCGTGGCAAAAATGTTTCTCAGGTACATTTGCCATCTACTCCCAGGCTTCGGAGAGCAGCTGCTGAACTTTTGCTTTTGTTGGCACCATTAGTATGCATGCAAGGGTGTGTGTGTGTGTGTGTGTGTGTGTGTGTGTGAGAGAGAGAGAGAGAGAGAGAGAGAGAGAGAGCCCGTGCATGCGCATGGGGCATGGGCTGGCACGTGCCTGGGTGCCTGTATGTGTGTGTGCACTTCCCCCACCCCAACCTACAGGAATATAGAGAAGGAAAACACTGGGCAGCCCTCCTGAGCCGCCCTTTGTTTTCCCAGCTGGACTGCCTGGGGCTGTGTGTCTTGGGTCAGAACCTGCAGGCGACTGGATTTGGAGGAAGCTTGACCCTGGGCCCCAGGCAGGTGGAGGGGAAGCCCAGCAGCCTGCCTGGCATTCCTGCTGGTTTGGTGACTCTTAGCTCAGGAGAGTTGTATTTGTTTGCTCTCTTTCCCCGCTCTCCCCAGGGCCAGTGGCTTCTCCTGGGGAAAGACCTTTTGTAGAGAAACTCCTTAGGAGGAAAAGCATTCTGTGGGAGGGGAAGCTGCTGTTTTCTGCTCATCCAGAAAGGAATGAGCAAGCAAGATTGACAGGGTCCTCACTCCTTGGTCCCTGTGCCTGCTTCTCAGGTTGCCCTTGGTCTCCTAGCAGGGCTGCATTCAGACTATTTAGCAACTGTGTGTGTTCTTCTGATTCCCTACCCTGGTGTGGCAACTGGTGTGGCTGGGCCCCTGACCTGGCCAGAGGGAGCTGGGTCCAGGAGGCTCCCCACTAGGCCAGACATTAACCTTTCAATTGCTGGTCTCTGTGGAAGTCCTGGGGGCAGGGTCCCCACCTTTGGGGCTTTAGGTAGAGCCAGTTCGGGGTTTCCTGGCAGTGACTGTTTACCAGCTGGTTACAGAACATTAAAAAAAAAAAAGGTGATAATGGTTAAATATCAGCCCTGCCTGATGATCTCAGAGGGAARCACTGTTAGGTGCAGACTTCCTCCTCTTATCCAACTCTACTCTAGGGTGACAGAGCAGTTTTCCCCTGAGATGAAAAGCAAGGACAYGGTATTGGGGGGACCTGGCTATGTCAACCAGATGACTGGCCTTTTTGTGCCTCCCCTCATGGCCTGTGGCCAGTGAAGCCTTGTCCTGGTGGTGGGGGAGCCACCCACCTGGGCTCATGAGAGGTGAGGAGCTTATCTAGGGYCTGGTTGCTGGCTGTGCTGCCTGTCTCTGGATGGAGCTGTGTTCCCTCTGCCTCTCAAAAAGCAGATGATACTTGGATTGCTCACTTTATCAGGCTGTCTTATGTGATTATTGTTATTACCATTATATTTCCACATCATCTCAGAGCTACCTCTGGCWGGAGTCATGGCCTTGAAATCGCCCTGTTGTCCCTTTGGACGCCCTTTTCAGCTTCGCCGGGTGCCCCTCCCACAGGGCACAGATGTCTACAGGCAGGGCTGTCTTCCTTCCTGCCTCTTGTAGGTTGTGGTGAGCGGCTGCTAAGACCACAAGTCAGAGGAGTTGGGAAACCGGAAAGATGATGTTTTGGGCCTACACGAAGAGCTTTAGTACAGGCAGAGGATCAGGGCCTTTGGGAGCATCAGGTCTGCAGAAGGGGTAGAGCAGGGCCCCGGAGTCGGAACAGGAGGGGGAGAAACCTGGGGATGATTGCAATAAAAGAGGTTCAGGTGGTGCATGGTGAGATGGGGGGGGGGGCATGTGTGTAGGCCATGTTCTGTCAGCCATGCAGGGTGAAGCATCTTAGATTTCTTCTGGGGGAGCTGGAAACTACTTTCTTGGAGAATTTAATGGTAGTTGGTTGGACCTGAGGCCTGGAGCCGGTGGAGGAGGGAGGCAGCCCTCCCTGCAGTTTCTAATTCCCCAGAGAAGGCTGTTACCCTCCCCAGACATCTCAGGAAGGAAGTGATGACTCTTATTGTGCTGATTGCTTTTGTTACTTTTACCTTTGTCCCCTGGAAGGCAAATCACCTCACCAGACCTACCATTTCCTGAGAAAAATCACACAGACAGGGTGCCTCCCCGTTGACAGCAGGGTGCTAGGCCCAGGCAAATCACCTGTGTAAAAACGTTCCTTGGGTTGTCAGTGCTTGAAACTGTCAGAGCTGCTCTGGGAGGTTTAGATGTCAAGAGAGGGCCTCCTGGAAGTCTGAGGGGATGTGTGCCTGTGGAGGGGACAGAAGAGGTGAGGAGGCCACAGGCTGTGGTCTGTGGCTCTGCCTGGTAATGGAGATGGGATGGTTGTGGGGACATATGAGTGTTGTGGTCTATTTTTGCTCTAGCCTGCCATCCGATTTCCCTCTGTTGGTCCCCTGTGTGCGGTTCCCTGAACCAGTGTGCAGCTCCAGCCACCTGGCAGTTCCACCAGCCTCCCAGGCTCCACTGATCTGCCAGGCAATATCTAGCTGTATCTAGGGCCCTTTGAAGCCCCACTGAATGCAGTGGGCTTCAGAGCCTCAGTCTCCACACAGGCGAGATGTGATCATGCTTTTCTCCAGGTAGAGGTTGGTCCTGGGCAAGTCTAACCAATACTGTTTCGCTTTCTTCCTAGTCACTTCTCTGCCCTTCCCCCTCTCATTGGACTCTCCAGGTTTCTTCACTCAAAGCTGGAGAAAGTCACTTGTGCTGATATCACGTAGATACACTTTGTAGCTAATTTATTATTTTTTCCAAAAGTATTTGTATTTTTCAGTGGAAATGTAGCTGTAGCCAAAGGATGGCAAAATATTCTGTGGAATATTATGCAATTGCAAACAGGGCCAGAGGAGTCAGAGTAGGAGAAGATGCTCCTGAGATTACCTAGTTCTGAAAGCAACACTCAGGGCACCTTTGAGGGGTTGGCCACCAAGGAGCTTGACAGCCAGGCAGTAGGAGACGTGAGAGCAGGGTAGGGCATTTTGAGTTTTCCTACCATGTGCCTATGTGACAGTACATAGTTACAGGGTGCACCAGAGGGCGTGGGGAATGGACTTTGCTGTTGAGTGGAGGTAGGGGGTTCTGTGAGGYTGGGTCAGAGGAGTAAGTCTTCTTGGCATACATAGGATTAGGAATGGAACTTCAAGGATAGGCACACGGATATCTTTAGGTATAGCAGAACAGGTAGGAGCCTTCTGGCAGGAGGAAGGTGTGTGCAGAGGCTTCAAGGTGCCTGCATGTTTTTTCTGTGCAGGATACTCAGGAGATTTGACTCTCAGGAGTTGAGTGTTTGCATTGAACTGCTTTGTAATGTCATCTAAAGATGGAGGGGATTTTTCTTTGCCTTGAGAACAGTGGGGAGCCATGGAAGAGTCTGAGTAGGGGAGCAACTGAGTAGTATCTGAGGGACATACACTGCCAGCAGTAGGCATGTAGGGTCGGAAGCCAAAGATTCAAGAGTCTAGAAGGAGAACCATTGTGGCCACGAGGTTACTCAATCACTCAACCAAACTCATACCTTCCTCCAAGTGTTTCACACCCTGCTAGTCCTGGGAGACACAGGATGAATAGAACCCGGTGTCTGCCTCCAGTTTGCTCACAGTCTTAAATAGGGCCACAGGCCATGCTAGTAGAACTAGGTATAAAAAGGAAGGCATGCACACATTTTGAAAAAGACTTTAGAGGAAAATAATGGAYTTCCAATGGCTGTTTGAAAATGAGGACTGAAGGGAGGGAATAGAGTAAAAACTTAATGCCTGGGGTTGGGATGTAGCACAGAAGGATCTTGGGGCATAGGGAGTGAGAATTAGGTTTTGTTGGGAAGGTGTTGAAGAATTCAGTTCTGGACACAGTGAAATATCTTGGTCCATCCAAGAGTAGAAGCTAAGAAGATCAAGAAAGTAATGAAAGTAGAACCTCAGTGAGAAGTCAGACTGTATATGTGAAAGTCATTTTATTAATCTGTTTTTCTTTTCTAAAACAAAATGCTTGAGGCTGGATACTTTATAAAGAAATGAAGTTTTACTTAGCTCACAGTTTTACTTAGCTCACAGTTTTAGAGCTGAAAATCGAAGAGGAGCCCCATCAGTTTGGCCTCTTGACTACTTCACATCATGATAGATGGCCTTATTGTAGGAGCAAGTGTGAGAGGGATATAGAGCATGTGGTGTGACAGGAAACCAGACTGTGAGGTGAAAACTACCTCAGTACCCCTAGGGGCAGCATCCAAGTACCCTTCATGAGGTTCTGCCTCTTGAAGGCCCCACTGCCTCTTAACATCAGCACACTTCCAATTCATGGATCCTTGGGGGTCGCACTGCAAGCAACCACAGCAGTCACATGATGTGTGTTTTCCAGGCAGCAGTCAAAGCCCTGTGGAAGGATGAGCCAGGTTAGCAAAGGATGGAAGAGTCACGAGGTGGCAAGAGTGCAGCGGGCTGGAGGTGAAGGGACCTGCAAAGGAGAACCAGGTCTGAGATGGTCAGGGGTGGGGCAGAGAGAGTTGAGTTGGAAGAGGGTGGTGGAAGGTGAGGGAAGAGAATTTCCAGTAAAAACAGGAGGACTGAGTTAGGAGAGGAGGCAGGCAGATGCGTCAGATAGTATAATGGGAGACTGACCATTGAATTCAGGAGATGATGACACCTTTTGGTTGGAAGAAGACAGAAGGATTGATGAACTGTTGAGATGGGCTCTGCACTGGTCAGGTGTGGGTGTAAGGGCTGCCCGCCCCTGTGTCATCTTGGGCAGCTAGCCACTGTCACGCGAAGCTTCCGAGTCCTCGTTATTAAAAGGGATGTAACAGCACTACCCCAGGCCCTGAGCTATGGGTRCTAAGGGGAGTAAATGAGATGAAACATGCAAAACCTTTAGCTCATTACTTGGCACATTCAAAATGCTCTCGAAAAATTTTAGCTGTTATCATAAGCAGCAATAAGTTCTGTGACTGGGAACATGATGTTTTTCTTTTTTTTTTTTTCCTCAAGATTCACAAATGTGATACTGCTGTAAACCACGGCATAGATTTCTGGAGAACTCTTTTCAAACCGAGAACACTCCCTTCCCCGGGAACCCAGATGGTTCGGGAACTGGAAGATAGGCTATTTCTAGGGAATGCTTTTCATGGCGAAAATTATGATGATACTCCTAGATCATAATTGTTTTTATTACATTGCATTTGCTTAGAGTAGTTTTTTTTTGCTTTGAAAACATTTACTACCTTTCCGTTAGATTTAATTAGGCTTCTGTAGAATGTGGGGATTTACATTAGATGCTGGGGAGGAAACCAGAGGAGGACACACAGTGAGCTCTTCGGAGGCGTCTGGTCAGGATTTGGGGAGAGTGTGGGAATGAGGAAGGAATGAGAGCATGTGAAAGCCATGTGGGAAGGAGTGTCCAGTGGTTAGTGCAGCCCAGCTGATGGCGTGCAGAGGCGGACCTTGACCTGGATCAGGTATTCTCAGRGACTGTGTGTCCACTGGTGGAGTCCTTCAGATTGGTTGACTTCTAGAATGACACGTTTTGGGTGGAGCTGGGCCCTGTRGCTCTGGTTTCTGGTTCATAGCCTGTCTCCTGGACCACCGTCCTCCTGGGGGGCTGGCCCCCAGGTCTTTCATGTRCCCTTCAGGCTTATTTCCAGTTATTTCCTCAGGTCCTCAAGGCTGTCATCAAATCCATGTGATAATTCCCCCCTCCCCCCCTTTGTGCCCAAACACAAACAGCGTCAGACATGGAAGTTCCTTCCCTGTGGAAGTCTTGCCTTGTCACCTCTTCTGTGGAGTCATTGCCAACGTGAATAGGTTCTTCTAGGACCCTGCCTTTGGTTTCTCTCTTAATCTTGAATTATGAACTAGGTGAACTGGCTTGTGTCTACTAGGTTGCAGTGAGGAAGGAAAGGATCCGGGCTWTTCATGTGGTACCCCATCCTGTAGTCCATGGTGGGTCCCCAGGACACCTGTGAATTGACTCTGTCTCATCCTGCCCCCCCAGACAGCTCTGAGGCTGCATCCGCTCTCTGCACAAACTTGTTCAAAGTCACAGAAGCAAAATAAGGCAAGGTCCTGCTCATCAGAGCCACTTCCTGCCCTGATCCTCAGAGCTGCCCGGTCACCTGGTGTAGTAACAAGAAGGGGCAGCTTCTCTTCTTAGAAGGATGTGATCTTAGTGATTTTCTTGGAAAGACATATCCCATAGGTGCTCAGAGCATGCAGGGAGAGACAGCAGTCTCATCTGTGTTCAGCCAACAGATAGTTACCCTCTGATTGTGACCGAGTGACCTGCCAGGAAAGGCTTGCTCAGCTTCATTACCTGGTTAAATAAGCTCCCTGTGGCTTCCCCCRGCCCACCACCACCCTTCTCCACTGAGTCTGCCCTGGTGTGGACAGCATTCTTTCATTGCCAGGGGAGGCTGGGAGATGGGGAGATGTGAAAGCCAGTGCCCTGTGACCTGCATGTGTCAGCACATGGGTTGGGGAGGCGCTGGGTGGCTCTGGCCGGGTGCTGCTCTGAGTACCTGTTTTCTCTTGCAGTACATCTTTGCAGATGCTTATGCTCAGTACCTCTGGATCACTTTTGACTTCTGCAACACTATCCATGGCTTTTCTATCCCATTCCGGGCAGCTGATCTCCTCCTCCACAGTAARGCCTCCAACCTCCTCCTGGGCTTCGACAGGTCTCACCCCAACAAGCAGGTAAGACAGCTTCCGGAGCTCAGTCGTCTGGGGTTCCTGGGATTTTCTCCTGGGCCTGGGTGGATGGTGTGTCCTTTGGGTGACCTCGCCTCCTGCCCCTCCCTCCTCCTCTCTGAGGCTTAGCCTTTGGAGCTACTGTTTCACTTCCCACAGCTCAGGAAAGGGATACCCCCGGGCACTCTCCTCCAGCACTTGGCACCCAGCACTTGGCACCCAGCCCTTGGCAGGCCCTGGGACTTAAACACCATGCCCCTTTGTTAGCCCTCGGGGTAAATCGAGGCCCTGGAATTTAATCAGAGAGGGCTACCTGRGGAGGTCTGGAGTCTAAGCCCTCTGGGACCTCTTGTCACATTTCTTCCGTCCTCTACCTCATTTGTTTGTTCAGGTTTTCCAGAGGTGGGGATCAGACCCAGGGCCTGGCACATGCTAGGCCAGTGCTCCGACCCTCCGCCCCACCCCGAGCCCCACCTTAAACACACTGCTTTTGCCTGCCACCTGTTTGAAGTCACCTTTAACTTTGATATTCTTCCTTTGTGTTGGGGGCAGGCACATGGGTGGAACATAAATGTGTATATTTTCCTCTTGGCATCTAGGTTTTTGTAGGAAAGCTAGCAGGTAAGAAGAGAGGCTGAGTAGATATATACCTCGAGGCGAAGCTTGCCAAGTCAAGACTGTTGGTCAGGCATGAGACTCTGAAACCTGTAGAGCTTGTATGAGGGGACTGATGAGGAGCCGCGAATGTTTTTGTTCAGAAGAAACTTGGAACATTTCTTTTGCTTTGTGGGATGTTTAACCAAAACACAGATCTGTTTGCCTTTGCTTGCCTTTAGGAGTAACCCAGACTGGGCTGGGTCAGTTTACCAGGGGAGGTGGATCATTGTTATTTTTGGTCTCATGGTTCCTAATACACATTTGCTGGGGCCAGAGAAACCCTTGGGTCACATTAGTAGAAGTCAGGGGACTTTGGCAAAGACACAGGCCTTGTCTGTGTGTTCAGTTGATTCCTTTTGGTTTTCTGTACTTGGCTGATGTCGTCTGCTGTCAGCTTTGATTTTGATGACCAAGGCTCATTTAGGGTTTTTATTTCTGGTGCTAGGGCCTTGTGCCTACCAGGCAAGACTCTACCCGCTAGCTACATCCCTAGCCCAGAGGTTTTCTTTTTTCTTTCTTTTTCTCCCCCCCTTAAATTGAGGTAAAATACATGTAACATGTATTTTCCTATCTTAATCATATTTTCTGTTAATTGATATTAAGTATGTTCGTATTGTTGGACAGTGTTGCCACCATCCAGGTACAGAATTCTTTTTATCTTGTGAGCTGGAACTCTGTCTCCATTAAATGTTGACTCCCGAGCCCTCTCTCTCCTGGCAACCACCATTCTAATTTCTGTCTCTGTTTTACAATTCTAAGTACCTCACGTAAGTGGAATCATACCCAGTTTGTCTTTTTGTGACTGACTTATCTCACTAAAGCATATGGTTCTCAAGGTTTATCCATATTCCTTTTCAAGGCTGAGTAGATAGCCCATTGTATGGATATACCACAGTTTGCTCCTCTGTTTGYCCCTTGATGAACACTTGCATTGCTTCTATATTTTGGATATTGTAAATAATGCTGCTATCCATTACAAGTTTCTTTCTTTCTTTCTTTTTCCCCCGTCACAGTGTTGGGGGAAATGTTTGCACATGCTAGACAAGTGCTCTACCTCTGAGCCACATCCCTAGTTTGGCATTACAGACTGTTTAAGGATACTATTTCCTGGTCAAGAAATACCATTAACTGTGGGCTGGTCTTGAGTAGAATAAGTTTCTGGTAATCCATAAATTGAAGGCAAGTCACATTCATTTTTTTTTCTTCCAGTGCCTACCAATGAAGAGTGCAAAGGTGCACATCTGTCCTTCCCTCTCTGTCTGTTGGCTCTGGAGTGCCCTTGCAGAGTGTGTGCTGTTGAGGTGGGGTTTTAGGGGGCTTTGCCCAGTGGTTCTGTTCAGATTGTATGCAGTTCTCATCTCATGGCCTCTTGTCATTTTGGTCTTTGCAGCTATGGAAGTCTGATGATTTTGGCCAGACCTGGATCATGATTCAGGAACACGTGAAGTCCTTCTCTTGGTAAGTTGTGTCCTCTCAGAAGTCCTGACGTCTATCCATCCTTTCTGCACTTCCGGCTACCTCGTGATAGACAGACCTTTTATCCTCACCTGTAGTGTGAGGCATTTAGCTCAAGGAATAAAATTTCCAGGCCCAAGAATTAGCACTGCAAGTGTAATGAACTCACCAGTGGGGATGAGGAAGGAAAGTCGCTCGTGAGAGGAAGGGGAGAGCTCTTGCATTTTTCATCCCCTCTGGGGACTCAGGGGAAGCTTGAGGCTCTTGCGTGTCATGTCATAGAGCTCTTAAAATCTTTCATTTTTAGAGCATCATCTCAGGAGTGGGGATTTTCCTCTCTATAAAATTCAGGCATTTGTTCACTTATAACATTTAAAAAAAAAAACTCTGCTAAATATAAAACCTAGATACTTTAGGGTATAGGAAGTTGAATAATGTATGGATATGGTTATTAAGGAGAATGTAGTTTAGGAGGTAAGAAAAGACATATTTCAGGTATATAACTTGAATTATGAAAGAAGCACAGAAGTACCAGATAGAAAGAGAAGCCATAGAGGGATCGTGCCTTCCAGAAGGGAGGCCCATGGATGGCTTCATAAAGGTAGTTGCCCTCCATCCAGGGTGCACAACAGGTAGGGGGGTAGCATGGCAGGAGTGGAGGAAGGAATTTCAGACAGGAGCAGGGTGGCATGGGCAGACGTGAGGCCATGGTACTTGGGTGCAGAACACTGGCTCTTCTATTTGGACTGGGTATTGGGGAAGTTTGAAAAGGGGAATTGGTATCCRAATCTACAGTGCTTGAGAAAGGGATTTGACTGAGTTCTGGGTACAGTGGGGTGCTTTGGAGGTTATTGARGCTGATCATGCAATATGTTTCTGTCTGGTTATTTCCACTTGGCGTAAAATAGGCTGTGCTTCAGGAAGGACAGTCATTTCTGGTCATGCTTGCCTCTGCCCTTGTGCCATGGCAGTGATTCAGTGTATGACCTTGAACACGAGTTTGAGTGTGTGCAGTGCACGTGTGAGACAGCTTTCCAGGGGCAGGATTGTGAGGTTGGGGGGTGTATCTGAACTGCTCTTCCGCCCTGTTCACATGGGTGACTAGAAAACTTAAGGCCTCCCAGACTGACCCTTGGCTCTACCACCCTGAGCCAGCCCGTCGCCTCCCTCCCTGTGTCAGTTTCCAGCTGGTCAGGGCAAGGAGTGTGGAGTCCTCACTGGCTCCACCTGTCACGAGTGCTGTGGGCCCCACCCTCAGCATAAGTCCCAGGTTGACTGCGCAGCTGYTCCTGTGCTCTGCTGCCACTGTCACCCAGTCAGTCCTGCAGTCAGTTCTCAGTCCACAGCAGATCTGTCCTGCTCAGAACAGGTCACACCAACTTGTTGCTCCTCTGTGAACCCTTTTGATGCACTGAACTGTCATTTCTCCTGTGCATTTCTACCGCAGGATGTGTTTTCTCTGCCTACAGTGCTCCTTTGTAGGATGTACTTGCTGCTTATTCCCTGCTTCATTAGGTACCTGCTCAAACAACTCCTTTTAAAATGAGGCCTCCCCACAGGATCTTATGTGTTGATTTGTTTACTTAAAATAAATTTTACTGTGTGTATTTAAAGTATGCAATAGGATGCTATGAGACAGGCATAGTGAGATGGTTACTATAGTGAAGCGAATTAACATAGTTATCCTGGTGTGTGTGTGTGTATGTGAGAGAGAGAGAGAGAGAGAGAGAGAGAGAGAGAGAGAGAGAGAGAGAGAGACAGACAAGAGCTGCTAAAATCTATTAGTGAAAATCCCAAATGTAATAGAGTATTTTCAAGTATAGCCCTCGTGCTGTACATTAGGTCTCTGAATTTGTTCATTCTGCACACCTGGCTCTTTGTATCCTTTGACCTAGGTTCTTTCCACCCCCATTTTATTCTGTCTCACTCTATATTTGACTTCTCTTCATTTTATCTATAAGTGAGATCATGCAATATTTTTCTGTCTGGTTATTTCCACTTGGTGTAATGTCTTCTGGGTCTATCCACATAATACACGTCTCCTCCTTTACAAAGGTTGAATACTATTCCATTGGGTCTGTCAGTTTCTTCTTTCTCTTTTCTGTCAGAACACACGGGTTGTTTTCGTATCTTGGCTGTTGTGAATAATACTGCAATAAACATAGGTCTCCACATAGCTTTATGAGGTGGTGCTTTTATTTCCTTTGGGGTACATACTCAGAAGAGAGAGTGCTGACTCATATTGTAATTCTATTTTTTAATTTCTTAGGATCCTTCTTACGGTTTCCACAATGACGGCACCAGTGGGTGTCCTACAGACAGAGTTCCAGGTTTCCTTTTCTCCACACTATCCTCAACACTTTTCTATCCTTTGTCTTTTTGATAATAGCCATTCCGATGTGTGTGACGTGACATATAAGAGTAGTTTTGCATTTCTGGGGATCCTATTTAAAATTGCAACTATTACCCTATTTCCAACCTACTATATTATATTCATTTTTATATAGCACTCTTTAGTGTTCTGACATACAATTATTATGCATATTAATTATCTTTCATAGAACAAAAGCCGCCCAAGGGCAAGGATTTTTGTTAGTTTTATGCACTGATAAATTCCCCCMAAATTGTGACTTTGGGAGACATTGCCGGTTTTTTAATGGAAAGTATCAAATTTATGCTTAGCAACTTAGAACAGTGTCTTTCTTCACAGCTAATGCTTTAGGTAAGAATTAGTTTTCTCATTGTAGCTTTAATTTGCATTTCTCATTATGAATGAGTTTGAACATCTTTTACTTGGCCTTAAGGATCATTTTTTTTTGTGTGTGTATGTGTGTGTGTGACATGCCTGTTCATGCCCTTTGCTCTTATTTCTATCTGATTGTTAGTCTTTTCGTTATTGATTTCCAGAAGCTTTTTATATCTTTGAGGTTAGCCCTTTGGTTGTGATATGGGAGGTTGTGTGTGTGCACATTTATATTTGGCGGTTTGTCATTTGTCTTTCAACATTTATGTGTAGTTTTAGTTCTCATTAAATGGCCCAACATGATATAGATACATGTCTGTTCTTCATTTAAACCTGGGTTTAAAGCTGAGTGTCTTGATGTTACTTCCTTAGTACTTGAGAATGGTGAAGATGAAGCTGGTACAGGGAGGAGCCACCTTCTGACTCCTGTGCACTTCCTTCATAGAGGGAAGCTGTTTCTGATCCCTTTGTCATTTCCCTGAGCAGAGGTTGGGGACCTTAATGAAATGATAACTGAAGTATCATTCAAGAGCAGTCTTTACCTAAGGAATACCATTCTAACTTTCATTTGCTTTTAATTTTAAGGGAACAAATTGATCTTTTATTGGTTTATGGAACTAATGGAATTAATTAATTAGCAGGACCACTAAATAAATTCAAGTTTAGGAATTTGTTGTATTTTACCTTCTGCAAACATGCAGGTATCTTAGAAGGACCTGGTCTATCTACATGTCTGGCATTGGGATTTCAGGTTATATTTGAGGGACATCCTCCTTGGAACCATAATAAGTGAGTGTCATCTGACCTCTCAGTATCATTACATTTATTCAACCATGCTTGGCAGCCTGGGAGCAGAAGGAGTGAGAAATGCCAATGGTTATGTTGTGCAGAGCTGGAGATGGGCAGCATAAGACAGCAAGATACCCATAAGGGAGGGACTCCAGGATGCCCTTCTCTTCTCCCAACATTGTGTTTGAAACTCTGTATGAAGTAATGAGATCCATTCCAAAATTCACCCAACCTGAGTGGTTTTACACCTTTGTCAGAGTTAAAAAAGACACAAGGAGCTTGAAATTGAATGTGATGCACAGGGGCGCGGCACCCCTGAGGGATTGGAGGTGAGACTTAGGATAGTGCTCACAGATGGCGCTGGGATTGGAATTTCTGAATTGGAGGCAAGGAGAACAGGAAGCAACTATGAATGAGCCTAAGAAATTGGAAGACAAGGTAATGGCAAAGAACAGGAACTTGTATGTAGGTGGAGCAACTTCCAGAAATGGGAGGTCCAAATATGGGACGAGTGTCCCAGTTCTTTCTATTTCTACATGTGGGCCTTCTCTTTCAGCTAGGCAGGGAATAATACAGAAGAACTCATCTCAAAATACCTCAAGAAAGGTTCCTTCCTCTCTGCCTTTTAAAAACCCCAGCAGCCTCATTTTAATTTGCATATCCTCTAGGCTAGAGGAAGTACTTTAATCAGTACTTCTAATTGTGGAAGAGAAGAGAACATGCCACCAGCCACCCACACTGAGCATCTGATAATGAAGAATAGATTTCTCCCACGTTAGGACCCAGGCTGCTGGTTTCTCCACTACTCTTCTCAGAGTCCAGATTGTAGGGTAAAAGTCAAGTCTTCCCCCCAAGGTAGATAGAGGCTCTTTTTCTATTTCTTATCTTTCTCCCCCTGCTTTTTTTTTTTTTTTTTGATGTGGTTAATGTTCTCAACAGCCCATCTGTGAAGGAACTCGAAATGATTGCCTCCATTATTCTGAGCACCATTGCCCATATGGAGCCAGATAAAGACTGTTACCTCTGCCTCTCCTCAAGTCATCACCCTGAAAGCTCCTCGTGAAGCTCTCTTCCTGACTTTTCAACTCTTTTTCTCATTTGCTAAGTGTCCGCCTGGTGTTGGTGTCTTTGTGAATGTTAGGAAAACGTGGGCAGGTCAGTTCCCTTCCCAGCTGCCACATGGGGCCACTTTCCGGGGATACTTGTTCAGAGCTGCTTTCCAGTGTAGTCAACCTTATCATTCTGCAGTAAGAATCTGTCATTATGGACAATGGATCCAGTGCAGCAAGTGTGAGTTCAGCTGGGAGCCTAGTAGGCTGAAAGGCAATCTGAGAAAGGACCTTTGAGGGCATCTGTGCTTCCTCTGGGAAGCTTGGACAACACATGTACTCCATTGTGTTTGAAGCTCTGTATGAAGTAATGAGATCCATTCCAAAATTCACCCAACCTGAGTGGTTTTACACCTTTGTTAGAGTTAAAATTGAATGTGTTGCTCGTGTTGGGAGAAGAGAAGGGAGCAGTAGGAGAAAGATTCTGGGAAGAAGGAGCTTTGAACTTGATCTTGGAGGAGAGTAGGATTTAGTGGGGTGATTAGAGTGTATGCTGAGGGTAATTCTGCACAGGGTGTTGTGTCTGCAGAATCACAGAGGCCTCCCCTTTGAAGGACATCAAGGATATCAGTGTGTATGAGAGAAGGCTTGCAAAGGCACCTTGCTGGAGTTGAAATGCACTGGTAGGATGACTCCAGATGGTGTGAATCAGTGACGTCAGTGGGGAGCAGAAAGGACAGGGACCCTGGGACAGAGCAGGTTCAGAGATTGCTAATGTGGTTTCCTCTAATGCTGCATCTTCTGAGGATGTAGCATCTTGGGAAAACTCTCCTTCATTCCTCAGAGGTTCTTAACTTGAGGCTAGAAACTTGCTGACAACCTCAAGCAATCCATAGTTTGTTTATTCTGAAATACTCCACCTTATGCTTTTCCTTCTTTTTGCTTTTCATGAGCAGGGTGAGAGCTTGCCTTGAGCTAACTAAACCCACGATGCTTTGGAAACAATGGTAGCGACACAGAACACTTTGCAGATGGCAAGTCCTCTCCCTCTATGCCGAGCCAAGGAACAAAGGGATATGTTAGAGGCACAGAGAGTATCATTTGTTGCTTGTAACAAATGATAGCCCTAGATTCTAGTTGATTGCATGGCAAAACCTCTATGCCTTCAATGATTAAATATGAAAATGATAACACCTTTTTCCCCCTCAGGGGAATCGACCCCTATGACAAGCCAAACACCATCTACGTGGAACGACATGAACCCTCTGGTTACTCCACAGTTTTTCGAAGTACAGACTTCTTTCAGTCCCGGGAAAACCAGGAAGTGATCCTTGAGGAAGTGAGAGACTTTCAGCTTCGGGACAAGTACATGTTTGCTACAAAGGTGGCGGTAAGTTGAATGCCTTCAGAATAAACTCCTTTTAAATTTCCTTAGCAAGGTTTGGAATTCTGTAGGCAAATAGGTGAGTTTGCATGAGCAGAGACTGGCTCACATGCTTAGGGTAGCTTGGCTGAAGGACTGTGGACATTGATGAACGTCTCCAAAGGGCTTGGAGGTGCTGGGAGGTCTGAGGAGTGGAGTCATCGAGGACAAGCACTCCGAGTATCTCCAGGCTTTAGAAATTTGGTCCTCTCCTGGTAGCCAAGCCTCCTTGACAAAGACATGTTTTGAAATCCCRATGAAAGGAACACAGAAAGGAGGGGTGGAGCTCAGTGGCTTTTTTTCTCTTAATCCCACTGCCTTATTTCCTTCAAATTTAGACCAATTTCTTTGAGATTTTTTTTGACACATTCATTTACATGGCTAATAGGATGTGTAGTCATTGGCTAGTGGGAGTTAATGCTCAAAGAAAAGCAGTAATTAAGCTTCCAGCTGTCAGTAAGTAGCTTAACTCTCAGCCTTTGGGAAAATCTTCCCCTTGATTTGATGTGTTGGAGCCAGATGCTGAAATGGAGGGCTTGCTCATTTAAAACCAGAGTTGATTATTTAACAGGACTTGCTGTGAAACTATATCAAGTTCACTCTTTTATTGCCCTGGTGTAAAGGAAAAAAACCAGACTCTGCCAAGAGTATGTTGGGCCACCAGCCTGGGCACTGTAGGCTTGCTTTCTTAATAGCATCCATTTTTTCTCTGAGTCAGGCTCTGTTGAAGCCCTCTGATACCTGGGACGTTACCCTGCTTTCTGTCACTGTTGACCTTAGGGACTGAAATCAGATGTAATGCTTTCTTCCAGGTTCTCATTTATTTCTGTAATTAGTAGCAGGCCACGCAGAAGTGGTATGGTTTCATAGATCCTACCAAGGTCAACCCTCTTGGTAGGATCGATGGTAGAGAGGGGGCCTCCCCAGCAAGAAAGCAGGGAGGAAGGCAAGGATAGTGAGAGAAGGTATGGATGCTAAAGGCAGGAGGCATTCCCCACTACGTCCCCTGCAAAACATTTTTTTAAAACCACTGAATTAGGGCTAGGGTTGTAGTTCAGTGCTTGCCTAGTGTGCGTGAGGCCCTGGGTTCACTCCCTGGTGCTGCAAAACAAAAACAAAAACAAAAATAACCCAAACCATTAGTTGCCATATGCATGCTTGTAATCCTAGCTACTTGGGAGGCTGATGTAGGAGGATCTCAAGATCGAGGCCAAACCTGGCAACTTAGGGAGACTGTCTCAAAAAGTTAAAAGGTTTGGGGATGTAGCTCAGTGGTAAAGCACCCCTGGGTTCAGTACCTAGTACCAAGTTAAAAAAAGAATAAACTGACAATTTTTCTTTTTTTAGACTGTTTGCATTGACTAATAGACATTGCATCACTCCCTTCCTGCCCTGTCTGCTTCTGTCCATTTCTCTTGTCTCTCTCTCATGGGTGGGTGTGTCTGCGCATACACACACACACACACACACACACAGCAGCCCAAGAACATAAGATGCTTGAATTGCCTTGTGCAGGGATAGCTGATGGGCATTATCAGGTGGAAAACAGGTCCAACCATTGGGCCTTGAGACCTCCTTGGGCAGTCCTGAGTTCCAGTACCATCTAAAATGTTGTCTCCAGTGGTCATGGGCCTTTCTGTGTGAGTTCTTTGAACCTGGAGTTATTATATGGTTTAATATTATATGGTTTAATATGATCCCCTGGTTTGTCTTCCTTTTCGCCTGGGTTAGGTCTGAGCAGAAGAGCTGTTGTGTATTTCTGTCACCCTTTTATTTCCTGATCTCACACCTAAGGGTTTAAGTTAAATCTCTTTTGGAGCCTTTTGTGTCTTCCATTCCAATCTAACATCTATGTCTGTGGGTCTAGCTGACTTATAGAGTACCTGTGTCGAGGTTTTATTGCTCCTGGTCATAGGTAAAATCAGGGGTCTTGTCTATTTTGCTGTTCTGATCATCTCTGATACAGTGCCCAATGTCTTGCACAACACTTGGTACACAGCAGATTTGCAGTAGAATGGAATGAAGGCCACCTTGTCTACCTAACTTAAAAAGCATAGACTGGTAGATTTTTGTTTTTACTTTGGTGGGTGGTATTATGTTACTGGTACTTGAAAGTCTGTTGTCAATTCTATGTGGTTTATTTATCTGCTGCTGATAGCAAAGTGGTTGTAATGTGTTGGCCTCTCTCTCCTGGATGTGGACAGGCCTCCAGGTTCCGAGGGCAGTAGTGTAGCTTGAGTATGATATGCTAGACCACTAAGGGCAAGTGTTTCTTAGAGTACCTGCAGCAGCATCACACAGGGACAGTTGTGACAAATGCAGATTGCAGGGCCCACATGCACTCTCCCCCCCCCAAGTATCCCAAAGTTTGAGTCACCAAAGTTTGAGACACTCTGTCCTGAGGCCTTCTGTAAATAGAAAGTTCACACAATAGTCAATTATAAAGCCAACAGAACATTTCTCAAAGGATGAATTGATGGGAGAAGTAACAACTGGCAGTGGGCAATGAAATGGAGTTTTCTAGTGGACTGCTAAAGCACAAGGATAAACAGAGTTGGCCTCCGTGGGTTAACTCTCCCAAGGGAGTGCTGAAGCTTTCAAGTGGAACTTTATCTAGGGTCTGCTCACCTCCAAGGCTCTGTGGGTTTAGGGAATTTTTACTGGGGAATGTTCAACAGATTCAAAACAAATTTGGAAAATCAAGGAACTAATTTTACAATCTCAGATGGTTGGTTTGGGGTTGGTCACAATAGATAGCTGCTTCCCTCCAGTGCCATGAATTATAGTCCTTTTCAAGTTACTTTTTAAGTCCACCTGGAGACAGCCACCTGGGCTCTGGAAACTGGGTCTGGTGCCCAGGTCTTTAGAATCTCCTGGTGTTCTGTTTCCCTGCTCTGTCTTTACATGTGCTTTTTATCTGATGCCCTCTAATTTTCTTATCCCAAGTTTAATTTTTATTCCATCAAAATGGTAGGGCCATTAAAGAAACAATGAGGTAACTTTGTGATCTGTTAATTTGATAATAAACAACTGTTAGGTTCTTTCTGGTAGGTAATGGTAGTTGCCCAAGAGGTTGAGGTGGGTGAGGATTAGCTGCTACTTTGCAATCTTATGATCGGATGATGGAGCAAGCCAGACTTGGGCATTTCTTGCACAGATGTGTATCAGTTAACAAGGACATGACCTGTGGATTTGTTGACGCCTTCTGTCCTTTTAGGTGATATAGTCTCCTACCTTACATGATGCAGACTCTGTGTTCTAGAGCAGTCACTGACCAGTGATGGCCTACCACCTGCTTTTGTTAATAAAGTTTTATTGGAACCTAGCCATATTTATTTGCTTATGTGTGGTCTCTGGCTGCTTTCATGCCCCAGTGACAGAACTGAACACGCAATATGACCCACAAAGCCTAAATTGTCTACTACTGGACCTTTAGAGATACAGTCTGCTAACACCTGTTGTCGGTTACCCTTTCAGCAGGCATCAGACAACCAGAATCCAAGGTCTTGACAAACATCATACAGATACAGTTCATGTTGCACGCCTTAAATTGTCATGCCTGATAATGTCAGGGTGGTGTCTTTAGAATATTAAGGCGATTCAAATATCTTAGATGCCACTGGTCTCCCAAGTGAGAATCCATTTGTATTTTCATGATTCTGGCTAGCCAACCACTATTGTTACTGTTGAAACTCATTTCTAACCCTTATTCTAATTTAAAGTCTCTAATGTTGATCAGAGATAACAGAAAAGTTTAGTAACTGCCTTAGGGTTCTGATCTTCCCGATTAGTTTGCTGATTAAAACGGGGTATGAGTTTTAGGATCATGGACCAAAATTAAGTATTGACATATTATTTGAATTGTGATATTATTTAAATATATGCACCTATAAAGCCAGGTATAAGCACCTAATGCCTATAGCTCTTTTAATTGTCTTATATGACAATTAAATCCAAAGAGATTAAAAATAAAACTATAATAGCAATACATTTGAAATTAATATCAATTTGTTATATCACCTGTATTGAGATATAATTTATATATCATAAAATTCTGCCTTTTTAAGTTTAAAGTTGAATGATTTTTATTTTATTTATAAGATTGGACAATGATTATTACTACTAATTCTAAGTATTTTTATCACCCTCAAAAGAAACTCCATACCCTTGATAATTCCCAGCCATTGACAACCACTAACTTATTTTCTATCTGTAGATTTGCCATTTGTGAAGTTTTGGTGACTAGTTTCTTTCATCCATGTTGTTGCATAGATCACTTTAATCTTTGTTGTTGTTGTTCTAGGGATTGAACCCTAGCATCCACTGGGATACATCCCCACCCCTTTTAATTTTTTATTTTGGGGTAGGTTTCATCAAGTTGCTAAGGGTCTCACTAAGTTGCTGAGGCTGACCTTGAACTTGAGATTCTTCTGCCTCAGCCTTCTGAAATGCTGGGATTACAAGCATGTGCCACCATACCCAGTTACTTCAATCATTATAAGTAACTGAATGCTATAACACATTTTATTTATCCATACATGAATTGGTAACCATTTGGGTTGTTTCTAATTTGGGGCTATTGTGAGTGGTATTGCTGGGAACATTTATGTGCAATTTGTGTGGGGGTACATTTTTGTTCTACTGGACATGTACCTAGCAAGCGGAATCCTTGGGTTATATGGTAATTCTCTTTAACTTCATGAGAAACGAAACTGTACTCCAAAGTGATCACACCATTTTACATTCCCACCAGCAATGGAGAGGGTCCAGTTTYTCTACATCCTTGCCAACACTTGTTATTGTCTGCCTTTTTGATCACGGCCATCCTAGTAAGGGTGAAGCGATATCTCATTATGGTTTTCATTTACAATTCCAGACGGCTAATCACATTAAGCATATTTTTCATTTACCTTTCGGCCATATATGTATGTTCCTTGGACAAATGTCTGTTCAAAACCCTTGTCTAT